CAAATCAAAAGCCTTGCCTTGTCATATATGCTTGGCGATGTCATTATAGTTAGTATTTCGGCCAGATGCCACAGATCCATGGTCGTTTCATTTGTGTCATTGCTAGCAGAATCAAAATCTAACGAGAAAATATTACTTTGAATTGATTTTAAAGAAAACTATCGTTAAAATATCGTTCATTATGCGAATTGCCGAGAATTCTAAAGGACAGATTAATATTGGATTCGATTTCAAGCTTCAGTTTGGTTTAATTACCAAACAAATAAATTTTCGACCTATTGTAATAGCCGACAGCAACATTTTTGGCGTGTACATCATTGTGGGTAAATCCATTTTCGTGCATCCATTCTAAGGCATCCAACTCAGACGTCGGCACGGTTCGAAATTCTAGATGTCGGTCAGACGTTCAAAATGGAAATTTTTTGGGGGGAGGGGGTGTAAGGAAAATGTTTCATAGGTGGGGGTCAAACCAGATTTATGGAAAATGCAAGGGGGTGGGTGGGTTGGTGGGTTATTCTTGGAAGATTTTTGAGAAATTTCGTAACGAACATAATATGACTGCGTTTTTTTCCTGCTTGTTCGACTTCGGCCAAAGGTAAACGTTATCATTGGGTTTGTTTACTTAATGCAATGAGAGAGAGAGACATAGAGAACCGTTATTATAATAATTTAAAATTTTAAGGGGAGGGATTTTGACCATTACAAAAAATTTAGAGGGGGGTTACGACCAGCCAAATTAGAGGGGGGAAATCCAGACGTTACCATCTCCAGGTGGGGGGTAAATCCAGAAATCCCCCCCAGTGCCCACGTCTGATCCAACTATGAAAGACGATTCGGTCGATAATGATGAACAAGGTTGAAGCATTGGACTAAACTCATTTACTCACGATTTGAAGACCAATTTTCATGATAGTTATGGCAGAAAATGGCCGGAATTCATGCCATAAATTGAGCAATGTTCTTCCTAATCGTTCCATCACCACAACAGCTCTAGTTGCATTTGTTGCCGGAAAATAGTGAAAGAATTTTGGCATAAAATCTATGGGAATAAATCCGTTTCTTTTGGGACATTTTCATTTAAATTTTTTGATAAACTTGTTTTTACCATGATTGCCCATCATTTCATATATACTTAGATCTTTCAATAGATTTCCCACAGAGGTGCTTTTTGATTCTTTGAATGCAACACTTTCGGTACAATTTCCTTCCGTTCTTTTACCTTCATTTTGATTTTAAAATACATTCAATTCATTTACAGTGAAAAAGTTAGAAAATAATACCTCCAAAAACTCTTGCGAAACCTCCTACACCAAGAGTTTTGCTTGAATTGTCGTATTCATACGTAATTTCACCATCGTGCAAGCGAATTACTTCGCTAAAAATCTAGAGACGGCAAGAAATCATATTCAAAGATTGAATTTTAATTTAAAAAAAACAAAATCTGTATTTAAAATTACCGTTTGCATTAAAATAAGTATCAATACAATGAATTGGACGATACCACGTACTGAATACATTTCACACAGCCAAACGTTTGTTCAAAATCTGTCCAAATTCTAACAGAGAAATGATAACACCCGTTTGGAAATGCCACACTTTATTTTCTTTGAAAGATATGTCGTAAGTTTCTAACGACCAAATATCAGCGGCTTGAAAAAAGCTCATTGATTCAATAATTTGCAATCAACAAATCGGCGTTGAATCGAAGTAATTCCTGTCATAATCAAGTGTATGATTGTAATGAATCAAATGAAAAAAAAAAAACAAAAAACTTAACAAAGTCAATTCTCATACTGAAAAACGAACACAAAACTCGTGATATCAATTATAAAAAATCCTTTCGAAGCGATTTTAATTCGCCTATTTTGCATTCCGCTAATTAATTTTTACATCGCTCCGGAATAATTTTCTAAAATTGATTTCACGAGTTTTGTGTTTGCTTTCGGCACGAGAATTCCCGAGTGAAAATATTTTGACTGACTAGTAGCTGAGTGAAAGTGATTATTTAAAATAAAATGAACAACTGTAGTTGATTTTAATCATAAATGACTGTTAGTCAATTTCCAATCAAATTGCCCCAAATTAATCGACTGAAAGAATGACTAAACATGATTGTCTCCATACAAATACAAACATACAGCTTCATACAACTTAGTGGATGTTAGTCATTTCATTTACACAGGGGTTGACTTTGTTAACGTTTTTTTTTTTTCATTTGATATCAGTACTGCTACTCTGAAGAAATAAATGTAGGGTTCTGTTAAAATTTTTGATTTTAACACTCTCTTCATGGTTATTTTGAAATTTAATCATATTTTACCGCATTTTATAATGTGCATTAGAGGAAAATGGGACTTTTCCAATGGTGGTGGTAATTAGATAGTGCAATCTCCATCAGAATTTGTGAAATTAGAATGCGAATGTGTTACCCAGAAAATTGCAATTTCCTAATAATAAGACCTCAAAATAGACATACTTCTACATAAAAATGTATTTTTCCAAAGAAAATGCCTTACAAAATTAGTGATATCACATGAAAAACCTCTAGACGAGGTTAAAATGGAAAGACGCTTCTGTGAGTGGATCAAAAATATCGCGTCACGACTTTCACACGGCAAAATGCTTAAAAGCTTTGGAACAAAATTCAAAAGTCATGACGCGATATTTTTCCTTATTGTGAATAAATTTTTACAATAGTGAATCCGAAAAACACTTCTGAACTTCGTACCCAGCAACAATACAGCGTTCTAGCGTCACCCAAAATGATATCAGTCTTTTTGAGTGGTGAATCCACGCACAGAAGCGTCACTCCATTTTAACCTCGTCTAGAGGTTTTTCATCTGATTGTGAATACGATAAATATTAAATCTCAGCAAACAGTTCAATTTTTCGTAATTCAATTGATTTTGTGTTATAATTTGCTAGGCAAAAGTTTTTTTACAACATTCCATCAATTTCGAATCTTTATAATTAATTTTGGTGGCTGGTAATAACAGATTTTGGTGGCTGGTTTCTTTGGCTATGCAGTTCAATGATCCACAACGTTTGTCAGATTGGAATGAGAATCCGCTGTCTTTTGACTATAGCAAGTTGCTATTAGCAACAAGGCACACATTTCCATGATTCCATTTCCAACAGTGACCATTTGTCCGTGTATTAAAAAACTGAAACATAAATTGGATATAACATCGAAAGTCCAAAACGAGACTATACAGGGTGGCTGACATTGAAGCCCTATATTTTCAAAAAGTTAAAACCGTTTTGCACGTTAGTGATTTCCCTAAACGTAGTCTATTTTTTCTAAAATGGAATACGAAAATGTTGGTCATATTTGCATAACTTATAGTTTAGACTTATGTCTCGAAAACGCTGCAAGCAGATAAGTCCAATGGCGTGGTATTTCATAATTGTGAGTGTGGATGTTGCTCAAAAACTGACGGCCAAAACCTTTTTCTTTACGAGCGCCCATATTTTTTCATTCACATGGCCGTATCAAACCTTGTTGAGTTTTAAACGACTCGTAACCTCAATGGTCATCAGATCAGGACTTGTCTGCTTCATTATGGACAAAAATTCATGCACTGAATCGAAACTGTCATGGCACCAGATCACAAAAATAGTGGAAAATAGTTTTTTTTTCGAAATAGTGATGACCTCCATTTTTTTTACGAAGCATAGAAATATTTTTGGCGATCGTAGAAGTGCTAAAATGTTCAAATCCGACTCGTCCAAGATAAATCTCGTCAATTTTTTCATTTTCGAATTAATACAATTGAGAACTATACCCAAACAGACGAAGAAATTTGAAAAAGCTTTACGAACGTGCAAAACGGTTCTGATTTTTTGAAAGTCTAAGACTGCAATTTGGAGCCCAATAAACCCAATCGGAAAGTTGAAGTGGCGTTGAAGAGCCACAAGTATAATCTTTCATTATTGCGTTTGAATATCAAAAGATATCCACTAGAAAAAAAAAGTTATGAAGATTCGTTTTTGTTGCACTTCATTACAGCCACCCTGTATTGTTGGCAAACCTATCTGACACTGAGTATGAAGTGTCATACACTGGAGATTTCGTTTTTCATTTTTCTCAACCAATTGTCACATCAATTTCCTCAAAACAGTTGAGCTCATTGGCCCACATCTGCATCGGTTTTCCATCGTACAGCTCTAAGGGAAATTTTGCGACTGAATCAATTTACGATACAATCGAAAACTTAGCACCCAGTCTGGAGTATACATATGGTTCAATCATGCCAATGGAAACAGCAAAAGAATAATTGTTCTGAATTCATCATATCTTCAATCTTAACATCTCAAGGCCTTTGTTTCACATTCAACGCACTAAACTCACATTAGATCTATAAAAAAGAGTGAGTCAAATGGCATCCGTAATCGACATGACGAAACAATAGAAGAAACACAAAAAGGCAGTCTATTGTGCTCAAACCAATGGGTTTTGTATGAGTTAATTGCTGTGTTTATTGATTTGAAGTATCATCCAAGACACAAACCAAAGTTCATGCTACACTTAGTTCATATGTAGCCACAGGTTTGACGTCTTATACTTGCGATATGCAAAACTCTAACCAATTGAAGAGATCAAGAAAAATTGATGGAACAACTGAACAACGGCCATTCTAAAAAATCTAAAAAATGTGTTAAAAACCAAACATTTCTATGTAGTTGTGATCAAAAAGATTTACTTTGAATAAAAAATTGCAATATTATTGGTCTATGATTGAGTTATTTTCTTTTGAAGGATACTTCACGGCGACTGTCAGCTCTTTTCCTTTTGTAAAATATTTTGGATGTCCAAGTCAATCACGAAGTGGTGTCTTAAATCTAAAACCGCTTCCATTTAATCGAATTGGTTCAAGTGTGTGTTTTTTTTTAAATAACTCCGCCCAGGTATCGGTAAATGGGGGTGTTTTTGCGGTATGAAAATATTATGTGATTCCAACTTGGAATTTCCAAGCATGGCAAAGAGAAAGGGAGACAATTTTCAGGTGATCAGTATTGTATTTATGATTCTTTATTCAAAAGTAATTCACATTTTTTGACAGAAAATAAATTTCAAAACAATTTGCTACGCCGGAATTAAAGAACATAATCAGGGGTTTCACATAAATGCACCTTTTCCACGGAGAAATTGAGCAGTCTCATTGTGACCTGAAAAATGACAGTTCGATGAATGTCGATTGAATCATCTTCATTTTAAACATAAATAATGAAAATTACCATTCACAGCAGCTTCATGAAGAGGTGTCTTTTGATATATGTTCTTTGCATTAACATCAGCCCCTCTCTCGATGAGAAGCTGAGCGATCTTCTTTTGACCTGGAAAGTAAAAGATCAGTGAATGTCGATTGAATCGTCTTTTTCCAAATATATAAATATTTCAAATTACCACTCCAAGCAGCTTCATGAAGAGGTGTCTTTTGATATATGCTCTTTGCATTAACATCGGCCCCGTTCTTGATGAGAAGTTGGACGACCTCCTCATGACCTGGAAAATGACAGATCAATGAATGTCGATTGAATCATCGTCTTTCCAAATATAAACACTCAAAATTACCATTCCCAGCAGCCCAGTGAAGAGGTGTTTTTCCAGCGCTGTCTTCCGCACGAACATTGGCACCATTCTCGGTGAGAAGTTTAACAATCTCATTGTGACCTGAAAAATGAGAGAACAATGAATGGCGATTGAATGACCTTCTTCCAAACATGAATTTCAAAAATTACCATAATAAGCGGCTTCAAGAAGAGGTGTCTTTTGATATTTGCACGTTGCATTGACATGGGCTCCTTTCTCAATGAGAAGTTGAGCAGTCTCCTTTTTATCTAGAAAATGACAGATCAATAAATGTCGATTAAATCGTTTTCTCTTCAAGTAAAAATATTCAAAATTACCATTCAAAGCAGCGAAGTGAAGCGGTGTCCTATCATAACCATTTTCTTTTACATGAAGATCGGCACCATTTTCGATGAGAAGTTGAGCGGTCTCCGTTTGACCTGGAAAGTAGAGGAGGAATGAAATAGACTGAATCATCATATTCCAAACATAAACGTTCGAAATTACCATTCCAAGCAGCCCGGTGAAGAGGTGTCTCTCCATTGTTGGCTTTTGCATCAACATCGGCTCCTTTCTTGATGAGAAGTTGGACGACTTCCATGTGACCTAGAAAATGACAGATCAATGAATGTCGATTGAATCATCTTCATTCCAAACTTGAATATTCAAAATTACCATTCTGAGCAGCCCAGTGAAGAGGTGTATTTCCATCGTTGTCTTTTGCACGAACATCGACACCATTCTCGGTGAGAAGTTGGACTATATCCTTTTGACCTGTAAAGTAAAAGATCAATGAAATAGAGTGAATCATCGCCATTTCAAACATAAATATTCAAAATATACCCTCCATAGCAGCTATATGAAGAAGTGTCTTTCCATCGTTACTTTTTGCATAAGCATCGTTTAGAAGTTGGATGACCTCCTTTTTACCTGGAAAATGACAGATCAATGAATGTCAATTGAATGATCTTTTTTCCAAACATAAATATTCCGAATTACCATTCTCAGCAGCTGTATGAAGAGGTGTGACTCCATTGTTGGCTTTTGCATCAACATCGGCTCCTTTCTTGATGAGAAGTTGGATGACATCCTTGTAACCTGGAAAGTGAAAGATCAATGAATGTAGATTGAATCGTATTCTCTCCAAAAAAAATCCAAATTACCTTTCCAAGCAGCCCAGTGAAGAGGTGTATTTCCATCGTTGTCTTTTACATGGACATTGGCACCATTCTCAATGAGAAGTTTAACGTCAGCAATGCGATCTGGATAACCGGGTGAAATAGTTTAATGATTATTACGTTCAAAAACAGTTTCTACGCGAATGGTTCTTTGTAAATCTTCATACCTTCTTCAATCGCTTCTCTAAGACGTCCATCTAATGTTTCATTGGTGAGTCTGGATTAAAATAAAGTTCAATTGCAATAAATGTGCTCTCTGAAGTGACTTCAGTCAAGTCTGACACTATGAATGATACTTGTGCAGCCATGAGCTGACAAGGAACATCGTTCGAAGTGTTGCGAGTTATACTATATGTATAAGTTATAACTTGTGTATTGCACTTATTTTTGGATTGTTTATTCCCAGAAATAGATACTATTCAATCCAATCGGAATTTTTGTTCCGGAATGTTGAAAATCTGAATTGAAATCTATATATATGAAACTGAATGTTCGTCTGTGTGTCTGTCGCGAGTTATCTCTCCTTTTTTTATTTATGGCTTTATTGTTAAGCTTCCTGCTTGATTTCGCGCAGCCTCACTAAGAATCTTATAAATGCAGTTTCGGTTTTCGAATTGAATTTTTTGAAGTTTGAGGAATTTTTTTTAAATTGTTTTTCGATACAATGTACATCAATCTGGATTGATGGTAATGAAGATTAAATGCATATTATTGCAAAAGAGATTTGATTTCATTTAAAAATAAATAAATTGAAAAAATTCATAATTCGAACAAACCATACATGAGTAAAATTTGTTTTGAATGAAAGAGACTCGAAATGGGGAGAAGACACACGTAGATTGGCTTAATATAGAGTAGCTTGGAGAATTGTGTAAGCTTGAAACACCGATAAAAACGACCAGACACAGAAAGGTGTTAATGGTTTCTAAATGTTTATTGTTGCTATTACGCCACGACAATGTACCCATTTTGAAATAACTAAAATGTATTGCTTTCTTCAATGCAAGAAAGAATTATGCGGTGGAAAAGAAAATAGCTCCGAATTTGAGTGAATAAATAAAATAGATATATGATAATTAAGAGAAAAATTAGAACGTTAAATAAATGGGTGATGATGATGAGTGACTGGAAAATGAAAAGTGTCGAATAAGACGATGAAAGATAAATAGAAAGAACAATTTGGAAAACCAGTAGAGCAAAAGAATAAGAGATCAGGGGAAATGGAGAGAGAGAGCGAGAGAGAGAGAGAGAGAGAGAGAGAGAGAGAGAGAACAGAATCGAGAGAAAAATGATACAGAAAGAACAATAGAGAAACAGAAAAAGAAAATGAAACAGTGAATGATTGGGTAATGAGAAAATAGATCGAAGAACACTGGGTGATGATTGAAGGATGGGGAAATAAGAGAATATTCGAAATATTGATACAAATTTATAAAAAATAATGAATAGGTATTGAATAGATAAATGAATGAGAGGAAATTGCAAATAGTTGATGTCTGAAAGATGAAAAAGCGACGCAGTGACTAGCGCCCGAGCCGAGCGAAGCGAGGCGAGATAGCTAGTGTTTTCATAAAATCAAATATGTCATCATCTCAGCGCATAATCCAAAGAAGTGCAATACACAAGCTTTAACTTATTCAGATAGCTAGCAACACTCGGAACAATGTTCCTTGTCGGCTCACGGCCGCCCATATATCATTCTTCTATCTCTATCTAGTATCATTTTTACGCTTGTCACTTACCTCTGTTCTACTCGAGCACCTAAGAAGTGAGAGAAAGAAAAATTCAATCTATTACGTCAGACAAATGCTCACATCCAACTGGATTGCTTGGTCATTAAAAAAAATCTCAGTCGGATTTAATGAAATATTTCAGTACAAAAAGAAGATTGTCCGATGACTCTTGAATGGTGCACCAGCAAGTATAAAAATTGTATTAAAAAGAATTATGGTATTCAGAAAAATTCCTTATTTTACTCTCTGGTTTGACTTCCACTCGAAACAAGATAAAATCATTGTTTTTTCAACTCAACTATTCATATCCTAATATCCTAGCCGAAATTTACATTTCTCGAAATTTGAACAGATATGGAAAAAGCACTCACCTTGTCCATTAATGGATGCTGCAGTGATGAAGTCAAATGCAACCACACCAATTAAAAATAATGTAAGTCTTGTCATTGCAGCCGATTTCCTTTCTTGATCTACCAAAAAAATAAGAGATTGAAGTCATGAAACCATTTGATATATTGTTTCCGATTTTCAAATAAAACGCTTATTCTTCAGAGGATTTTTTCGTTTCGTCGAAGCATTTCTGAGGCAGAATAGAGATGCCTGAAGTTCTATTTGATCGAATGTTAAGTCATTCAATAGCAATCAACTCAATTATTTTGACGGATTTTTTTAGACAATCTTTTTGAGTTTTCGTCCAATTTGTTTAACCCTTTGATGCACAATTTTTTGTTTTTGAATCATTTTGATACATGTTTTGTGACACGATAAATAGAGAAAGACCTCATACTTAGATTTTCGGAAAATTGCGTATTTATCGAGAAAATCGGAAAAGAGTCAAAAGTGTCAAATCACTATAAAAGCTTGAAAAAATTAAATTTCATAAAACTAATGATGCAGAAAGTTAAATTGATGTGTTTTGGTCCTACGAGTCCTAGTTTGACAATTGAAAAGAATGTACAAACCCACAAGATAAGAGGAGAAAAAATGTGGAATTCTGCTATAATTTCGCATTTTTTTTACAGCAGTACATGAACAGAAAAAACTTTCCATTCAGCCAGCCAATAGTAGCCTGTAAAGTATCAAATGGAAGCTAGTTCAATTCCCTACATTTGTTTCCAAACAAGAATGTAAAAATATTCAGTGGTTTCATAGCTATAGCGTCTGGCGTATCTGGTTACTTTAGGAACCGAAATGTGATAAAGGGTTAATAAATGAATGAAAAAAAAATATTGGTGCAGAATTGTATAAAAAAAAGCGGTTCAAACGCTTTGTATTGTTATTTGATGCGAATTTGCTTGAAGGATTCTCTAAAAAATGTCTCTCTGTCTGATATTTTTTCTAGCATAAAATGATCATGTTCTATACTCTTATGCTTACTTTTAGAAAAATCAACACTAAATCAATAACGACGCTTTGCATGAGTAATTGAGGATAGACTACGCGTTTTACTTGATTCACATTGATTCACAATTCACAAATAACGATCTAATGAAAATAATTACTTAAAAATATGAATAATAATAAAAAATACTTACGATTTGTTTTTAATTCGGAATTTTCGATGTAATAGAACTAATGATGTTTGTTTTAAAATTTGAATAATCTCAGTTTTTTATGTATTATTAGCAACCAAATAATTAAAAGAAGAATAAAATGAACAGAATAATCGAAAACAAAGCACTGATCGAAAAAGAGAAGCACAAATATTCAAATATTTATAATTATTTCGTACAAAATGTTGGCACTTCTTAGAGAAGCAAAAATTATCCGTCGACTGCAATCAACTTTGATTCCATACTGCACCAGTTCAGATTATCTGTCATCTATTTATACCGATTCTGATTATGTGCAAAAATTGCACATTCTCTTGTGTTTTTGAGTGCATAACAATATCAGCCCATTGGACTCAAATATATTTATCAATTGAGATAAGCATGCTGCCAACGTGGAACTACCGAAAAAATAATAACACAATACATTTTCGAAATCCTGCTGGATCCAGTCGTCACTGTGTATCAATCGTAAACACTTCTAGGAAAATCAGAATAAAATTTTAGTTCGCAGACGTTATCATGTATTTGGACGCATTAATTTCATAACACAGTGCAACATTTTTTCTGTCATCGATGCGAGCATAAGTTTTGAGTATCGCTGCTGAAAGTACTTACCAAAACTAGAA